AAAAAAAAAATATATATATATATATATATATATATATAGAGAGAGAGAGAGAGAGAGAGAGAGAGAGAGAGAGCCTTTCTCACAAGGCAAACTAGCTAACAAATCAGTTATTTTCTTTGCAGGATCTCCTTTACTACAATTTTATCTGGCCTAAAGTATCTATAAAATACTCATCTGTTCATTCAACAAACATTAGGCACTTATTTAAAACCTATGACAGACATGAAGAATACAAAGACACATAAAATGCAGTCTTTTTCTTGGAGAGCTTTCTTTTGCCAGTTGGAGACAGACGTGCAAATAAATGTATGCGATATGGAAGTATGTACAAGGGAGTTAAGGGGTCCTGGCAGGAGAGGCAATTCTGGCTGGTAGCAAACTAAAGGGAAAATGAGTCACCAACTGATTTCATGATGAATTCCTTCTCCATACTGGCACAAAGAAGAAAAGGCATTCCAGTATGTGTAGGGGCTTGATAAAGCATGTTGTGTTTGGGGAACTGAAAGCAGGTCAGTATTGATTTGAGCAGAGGGTGTGTATGTAAGGTGGAAAGTGTGGCCAAAATGAGGGCTGGAAGTTGTTACAAATGGAATAAAATAGAGTGAACCAGGCAGTTAAGGGCGTTTTGGGGGGGATTGTCAAGGACAGCGATATGGTCAGATATGTGCTTAAGAAAGATTATTCTAGCAGTGTATGAAAGATGGATTGAAAGGGGATTAGACTGGAGTCAGGAAGACCAGTTGTCTAAGTGGGAGATTATGGGACCCTGAACTAGGTCAGTGATAGTAACAACGAAGCAGAGAAGATGGATTGGAAAAAAAGGCAAAATTAGTAGTGCTTCTTGGGTGGTTAACCTTGAGGGGCAAGGGAGAGTTAATGTGACTGCAGTGATGCCCACATTTCTGGACCTGTAGTAATAGATTGTAATGCTCTCTACCAAAATCGATAATTCATGTCAGTAATTAAGAATTCGCCTATCACTCAGGAAGCTGGGGTAGGAGGAGTGTGAGTTTGAGGCCAACCTAGGTTGCATAGTCTCTGAAGGGAGGGCAAAAGAAAGAGGAAAAAGAAAAGGGTGACTCGAAAGGTAGCTCAATTGGAAGAGTGCTTTCCTAGCATACTCTGGACTCTGGGTTCGATCCTAGCACCACATAAATTAGGAATAGTGGCAAGGTAGAAGTAGGAAGGACAGAAATTCAATGTCATTCTTAGATACATAATGAGTTTGAAGCCAGCCTTGGCTACATGAGACCCTGTCTCAAAAATAAAGATAATAATTCAGAGGGCTGGAGAGATGGCTCAGCGGTTAAGGGCACTGACTGCTCTTGCAGAGGACCCAGGTTCGATTCCCAGCACCCACACGGCAGCTACAAACTGTCCTTAACTCCAGTTCCAGAGGAATCCAAAGCCCTCTTCTGACCTCCTCGGCATTGCATGACACGGGTCCACTCACATACATGCAGGCAATACACTCATGCCCACCCATTGTCCAGATAGAAGTTCTTTCTGTTAGTTTTTCTGATGACCAGAGAGGTTTTCCCCAGGCCCTGAGCCTTTTCTTCATTAATTATCAAACTGCTGTCTTTGCAGCAACCA